GTAGAGGTGACTTGTCAAGTTGCCCGAACCCTTGGACTCAGGCAATCCTCTCGCCTCTGCCCCTGCATTTACATATATTTGACATTATATTTTTCTTCTGCTACTTATACTTTATTTATTTTGAGTTGGAGTCAATCTGGGGTACAGTGTCATGCTTATGGCCACCACAGCCTCCACCTGCTGGGCTCAGGTGATCCTTCCCCCTCAACCTTCCAAAAAGGTGGACCTACAGGTGTGTGCCATCACATCTGGCAGTTTTAAAAAAAAATTTATTGTAGAGGTTAGTTCTTGCCATGCTTTCCAGACTGGTCTTAAACCCCTGCTCTCCTCTCGCCCCCACCCCCCACCTCCCAAAGTGCTGGGGTTACAGGTGTGAGCTACCATACCTGGCCTAGACTAGTTAGAACTACAGATACAGTGTTTAATAGAGGAAGTGATAGTGGCATCCTGTTTGTGGGGGGTGCATTATCTCAGTGTTGAGTATGATCACTGATATAGTTTTTGTAGATACTCTTTTTCAGTTGAAGCAGTTTCTTTTCATTCTAGTTTGCTGACTTTTGAAAAAAGACATGTGGATGGACTCGGTGGCTCAGCCTGTAATCCCGCGCTTTGGGAGACTGAGATGAGTGAATTGCCTGAGCCCGCGGGTTCGAGACCCGCCTGGACAACTTGGCGAGACCTCATCTCTACAGTAAATCAAAAAAATTAGCCGGGCGTGGTAGTGCGCACCTGTAGTTCCAGCTACTTGGAAGGCTGAGGCAGAAGGATCACCTGAGCCCAGCAGGTCGAGACTGCGGTGGCTGTGAGCATGCCACTGCACTCCAGCCTGGGCAACAGAGTGAAACTCCAACTCAAAAGAAAAAAAAAAGACATGAATGGTTGTTGAATTTAATTAGCTACTTTTCTGCATGCACCAAGATGATTATGATTTCTCCTTTTCTTTTCATGTGGTTTAATGTATACTTTTGAAAAACGGTATCTGTAAACTTAACCATTTCCACTGTAGCAGTGTTTCATAACATGAAACATTATTTTCATGTTCCTTTCCGTGCAGGAGACAGTTCTGTACAGTCTCTTCTTCTCCTGAAACCTGTTATACGTTTAACCCTGCCATATATGTATTTTTTTCATGGCAGCGTGTGGTGGGACAATACAGTTCTCGACTCAGGGACTCCTTTAGGTTAGAAGCATTTCTCCAGGCTCCTGCCACTGCCTCTCGTTTTACGTGGGGATAGAGGAGTGAAAAATTGAAAAACTTTCCTTGGAGCGTTTATTTATTTAGAGTTGGAGACTCACTCCATCACCCAGATTGGAGTGCAATGGCACACTCACAGCCACCCCAGCATCAACCTGCTGGGCTTAGGCAATCCTTCAGCCTCAGCCTTTCAAGTTGCCGGAACTACAGGCACGCGCTACCACTCTTGGCTAGTTTTTTGTGATTTACTGTAGAGACGAGGTCTCACCAAGTTGCCCAGGCTGGTCTCGACCCTGTGGGCTCAGGCAGTCCATTCACCTCGGCCTCCCAAAGTGCTGGGATGACAGGCTGAGCCACAGAGCCCGGCGGGAGCATTTATTTTGATGTGCTTTAATTTTTGTTTGCTGGGTTTGGGTATTTGGGACTGTAAGGGGAGAAGAATGGGGTCAGGGAAGGACTGTGAGCAAGAGCTAGAGGAAAGCCACCCGTGATTCCTGCAGGCCACCTTCCACCCCTCCCCTTCCCACACTTCCTGTTTCTCTCTTGTTCCAGCTTTGCCACAAATCAGCTGTGCGGTTGCACTTGGGCAAAACACTTAACCACTGAGCTTTTGTTTCCAATCTGGGGTTGAGGAGGAGGACCATGGACAGCTGTGTGGAAAGATTAAATGAGTAGTTTATACAGCTTGTGACACTTAAAAAAATGGGAGTAGGCTGGGTGTGGTGGCTCACACCTGTAATCCCAGCACTATGGGAGACGGAGGTGGGAGGATTACTTGAGCCCAGGAGTTGGAGACCAGCTTGGTCAGCAAGATTTTGTCTCTACAAAAATTTTTAAAAATTAGCTGGGGCCAGGTGCAGTGGCTCAGCCAGTCATCCCAGCACGTTAGGAGACTGAGGTGAGAGGATTATCTGAGCCTGGGGGTTTGAGACCAGCATGGGCAACTTGGTGAGATCTCATCTCTACAATAAATCACAAAAACCTAGCCAGGCGTGGTGGCGTATGTCTGTATTTCCAGCTACTTGGAAGGCTGAGGTGGAAGGATTGCCCAAGCCCAGCAAGTCGAGGCTGCGGTGGCCGTGAGCATGCCACTGCAATCCAGCCTGGGCAACAAAGAGTGAGACTCCAACTGAAAAATCAAAAAATTAGCTGGGAATGGTGGTGTGCACCTGTAGTCCCAGCTACTTGGGAGGCCAAGGTGGAAGGAGTGCCTGAGCCCAGGAAGTCAAGGCTGTGGTGAGCCATGATTGTGCCACTGCACTCCAGCCTGGGCAACAGAATGAGACCCCAGCTCGAAAAAAAGGGGAAGAATGATTGTTAGGATTAGTTTTGTACAGTGCTATCTAAGTCACATTTTCTAATAACTTGAAAACTCCATGTGGAAGAAGGATACTTGTGAAATATCCAAATATCAATCGTAAGGAATTTCCTATAGTTTTTGTGTGGCAGGAGGTGTAATTTGCTTAAACTTTATAAACTCTCTGAACTGTTCCACGTTGAGCCTGTCATTTTGGAATTAACAGCAATTGATATGCATGCATCAAAACCAAAACAAAATTTGCAAAAGCACTTACCTCTAAAATGATATTAGGATTTTTAAAAATTGCAACCACCCTAATTCCATTGAGGGTTAACTTGATCAGGACCTCCTTTCCAGAGGGCCAGGACATAGAGTCAGAACAGCTGACATTCTGCCTGAAAGGCAAAGCATCTCATCATGGGCAATAAGATTTAATGACAGGATTTTATTTTATACCCACCTGTCTGGTCCAGCTGGTTATAAAGTGAGGTGTACCTGGCCCTTTAACCGAAGAGCCGTGGCTAGATGGTGCCCTGAAACACCTTATTTTTTAGCTCAAGTAACATTAATAGTACTTGGGAATGTGTGGTCTTAAACCTTGCTGATATCTTGGCATCTTGGGCTTATACCACCGCCACCTTGACATCTCTCTACCTACGACCTCTGCTCTTTACAAGGAAGCAGGACTGTTGTGTGGTGTGGCTTTAATTCCAGGCATTTTCTCTCTGGACTCCACCTCCATATGTGAGTGCCACAGGCCTTGACTTCACCTGCGGTTTGGGGAGTGGATGGGTGGATTCCACAGAAGGGAGGTTTTGCTTTGTAACACACTGTTAGCATGAGCACCCACCCGTTGGGGTTTATAGGTCATCATTTCTAAATCAGGTCTAAGTTTATTTATTTTTTTAAATATTAATTTTTTTGTGTTTTGTGACTTTATTTCCCCCAAAGGAAGTCCTTTTTTTTTTTTTTTTTGAATTGGAGTCTCACTCTGTCGCCCAGACTGGAGTGCAGTGGCCACTCCCGGCCACCGCAGCCCTGACCTGCTGGGCTCAGGCCATCCTTCCACCTCAGCCTTCCAAGTAGCTGGAACTACCACGCCCGGCTAATTTTTGATTTATTGTAGAGATGAGGTCTCACCAAGTTGCCCAGGCGGGTCTCGAGCCCGCGGGCTTAGGCAATCCACTCACCTCAGCCTCCCCAAGCGAGGGATTACAGGCTGCCACCAAGCCCGGCTAGGTCTAAGTTTAAATTTGTGAGGGGGACATGTGGGGTGAGTGGGGAACAAAAGGCAAAGTAAAATTTCCCAGTCTGCGAAACACTGCAGAGAGGTGAGAAAGAGACTGCAAGGTTATCTGAATTAGAAGATTATTTGCATGGTGGTATGGAACTTGGAAATGACCTTCTCTTTGGGGATTGTTTTTTACACACCTGGAATTTAGACCTTTAGGGATCTTTGTAAGTGGTGATTTCCGTTGTAGGTCAAGGATGCCAAGCTTCTTGTTTTCCACCTTCTTCCTCTTGCTTTTTTCACTGCTGGACTTTGCTCGGGTACTCCCTTCTGCTTTGATCATCCCCTTGCCTTTTGGTTGGCATGCTTCTACTCACCTCCTCTTTCTCCTCCTGGACAGGGTAGGTGCTCCAGGAACAACTTTGTGACCACACTTAGAAGATCATGACCTGTTTTCATATCTGACCCTGTCACTAGTCTGGGTTCCTTCAGAACAAAGGCTCTGGTGTTCTCATCTTTGTAGCCAGCATGCTTGTTGCAGTGCCTGGACCTTCCTAGGCCCTCTTAAATGCTGGTTTGGATGGGGGGGGCGAGGCTGGACACAAGACTGGGCGTTAGCAGCTGAGATCTAATTGTAACTTTTTGTGGTATGATCTTGGGCAACTGACTTAAGCTCCTTGAGCTTTGGTTTCCTTGTAGGTGAAGATGATGGGACTAGCCCACCTAGGGACCTTGTTCAAATGCAGATTATGTCTCGGTAGGTCTCTGGTGGGTTGATATTTTGCATTTTGGACACACATCTAGGAGGAGCCAGTGCTGCCTGTTCATGAACTGCAAAGGACTAGATAATATATTATGGCTCTTTCAGCTTTTACCTTCAGTGATTATAGTCACGGTCATTTAATTCTGAAAAAAATTACAGAATGTGTTGTAATTTTACTAAACATCTCTCCAGTTTGTCAGCATGCTGAAAACAGACAATTCCGTGCCTTATGATGCTGTTTCCAATGTATGTTAATGTCCCTAAAGTTGAAAGTAATTTTATTGCTCCTAAAATTTTGACTTTGAAAGATTAAACATACCAAGTGTCTGGGAAAGCATTTGAGTTAGCACTATCTTGTCATCTAAAATGTCAGAATACTTGCTTATTGAAGAACATTTGCAATCAATAAAATGACTCTTGAAGCTGTATGCTAATGAGCTGAAGTGGAAAGACAGGTGAGCTCATGAGGATAAATACAGAGACAGGCAAGCTGTCGGTAAACTCATCGTCATCAGAGGTGAAGTTCCCAGTCATTTTCTTCAGTTCTCCAGAACGTGAGAGTCGAAGAAGGTGAGAGTCCAGCCGTTACGGGAAGTGTTGGTGGCTACAGGTAAAGCCAGAATGCCTATTGCATATGGATTGCTGGGAACAGGCCTTGTTTGAAAATGTTGCTGCTGTTTCTTTTGGCTTTTGCTTTCTCAAGAAGTCATGATTTTTGATTTGGGAGAGTGCCAGCTTGGACATTTATAGCTGATCTTGATCCTTTGTGCAAATGTCTAAAAGTAGTTAGACTAATTGTTTTGTTTTTTTGAGTTGGAGTCTCATTCTGTCGCCCAGGCTGGAGTGCAGTGGCACGCTCCCGGCCCCCACAGCCTCGACCTGCTTGGCTCCGGCGATCCTTCCGCCTCAGCCTTCCAAGTAGCTGGAACTACAGGTGCACGCCACCACACCCGGCTAATTTTTTAACTTACTGTAGAGACAAGGTCTTGTCAAGTTATCCAGACGGATCTCAACCCCTGAGCTCAGGCAGTTCTCTCACTTCCACCTCCTAAAGTGCTGGGATTGCAGGTGTAAGCCACCACACCTGGTGATACAGAGTTTTTAACTCCGTAGAACAGTTTATACTACCAGAGCACCTCATTGCAGTTGAGGTTTGGACAGAAGTTTTAAAGCTTCATCGTCATCATCATTGTTACATTTTAATCTTTTGTAATCCTTGGTTCCCCTAAATCAAACTAGCTAGGGCAAGCACAATAGTGGGAGTTGGGGAAAACCATCACGAGAAGCCCAAGGCCTTTGGAGTTTAAACCTCTTTGTTGTGCGCTGACATTCTTACTGTAACCTTTTAACACCATACTCTTACTGGGGGTTTTAATGGAGGCTGCCTCCTGCCTCCTAGTTTGTGTCGTGTTGCTGCTAGGTTGACACTCATTTTTAAAAATTAGTACTTTGATTGTTTGTTTATCAAGGTGGGGTCTCACTCCGTCGCCCAGGCTGGAGTGCAGTGGTGCGATCACAGCTCGCCACAGCCTCAACCTCCTGGGCCCAGGCAAACCTTCCGCCTCAGTCTCCTGGGCAGTTAGGTCGACAGGCATGCGTCACCATGACTGCTTAACTTTTAAAATTCTTTTTATAGAGACAAGGTCTTGGTATGTTACCTTGTCTGATCTTGTACTCCTGGACTCAAGCAATCCTGCCTCAACCTCCCAAAATGCTGGGATTATGGACATAAGCAACCTGGCCTAGCGAAGGTTCTTTGTACCCCCTCTTCAGAGTCTTATATAGACCATTTCCTGTCATCCTGAGGACCATTAGTATTTTTTTTAGCACAAAACATCATTTTTCAGACTTTACACTAAGATATTTTCATCTTTTTTACATTGAACTTAAATGGCTTGTGGCTAATGAGGCAGAAAATAGTTACTAATAATGGCTTTTCACTTCCTAGTTGCTTTTGAATTTTCCTTCAGTGACCTTACAGCCCCAAAATGTTAGTATCATATTTTTGCTTTGTTTTTCAAGAAATTATTTTTGCTATGAATAGGGCAAGACCATCGGCACTATCTGTGTAAAGCACTTTATGATTTTTTAAGCATCAGTATTATATATTTAGTATGACCTATTGATCTTTAAAATTTCATATATTCTCTCCTCAAAAGAAGATCTAGGGAGAAAAAATAAATAAAAGGATTTAGGGTCAGCCATAATTGTGACAAACTTCTTTGGCTTATCAGTTGTTATTTAGATTGAAAATAGGTTTAGAAGATTTCAGACAGGTAGGAACTCTGGTAAAAGCAAACGAGATTTTTCCCTCTCTTAATCTCAAGATTTTAACGCAAAATATTTTATTCCAAGTAATTGTGTGCCTATGTCCGCCCCCTCTTATTTCCCTTTAAATCCAGCTGTCTGTCAGTCTTTAAGGAGCATCATATTCACTTTCTTTTGTCTTCCAGATGAGAAGCAAATGTGCTAGCACAGGGTTGTTTTTCCCCTGTAGTTTCAGATATGTTTTTGGCTTTACCCAATTGGTTTGTTAACCTGCCAGTAATAGCAGGCTCAATTTTTTTTTGTCTATTATGCAGTCTCCGTTGCAGACAAAAATAACATCTGCCTTACTCTTTTTTTAATGGTAAATATTTATTTTTAAGCTGTTAAAGATGTCAGACTCTTAATCTCTGCTCACATCTGCCTCTTAAAAATCATTACATACCCCAAACTCTGGAAAATCCCTTCACTGCACCATAGCAACCGACACTCTACCGGATTCTGTGTGCTGCTTGTCCTTTCCCGTCACTGTATTTCTAGCCTTTCTAGAGCAGAAAGGAGACCATCAGAGGAAGCCCTTTGTAAGATAATTTATCTAACATCTCTGTTACGATTGCTGGACTGTTCCTGCTCTGGCATTCAACTCTTCAGCAGACTACAAAACCTACCTTTCAACTTTTTGTTCGTTTGATGTCCTTGTTTTTGCTGCTATCATAGGATAGCGCAGGTCTCTCATTTTGTATTAGGACTTCACAGGATTATTAGTCACTGGTGGTTGTTCCCTGTGTTCTGAGCATGTTCATGCCAGACTCATGAGTTCCAGATCTCCCTTATCTTTGAATTTCATCAGGTTGAGCAGTGTTTTGGCTGACCCACTAATAATTCTTACACAACCTCTCACCTTACTCACTCTAGCAGATACCTCTGAAATATGTATGAAAGAAAACCCTATTCTAGGTCAGCACGCCAACCTCACTCTGTCTCAAACCCCCATCCATATGCAATGTTAGATTTGAGTATGACTCCATAAAAGCAGTATTTTAGCATTTCTCGGAAAGAATAAGTAGTAAGGAGAGGAATGACTACACCCTGTAAGTAGACTATAAAGGGTTTCCTCCAGGCATTTTAATTTAAATTTAATTTTATTTTCGAGTCGGAGTCTCTGTTGCCCAGGCTGGAGTGCCGTGGCACGCTCACGGCCACCGCAGCCTCTACCTGTGGGTCTCAGGCGATCCTTCCACCTCAGCCTTCCAGGTAGCTGGATCCACAGGCACACTCCACCACGCCTGGCTAATTTTTTGATTTATTGTAGAGATGAGGTCTTGCCAAGTTGCCCAGACTGGTCTTGAACCTGGGAGCTCAGGCAATCCTCTCACCTCGGCCTCTCAAGGTGCTAGGATTATAGGCGTGAACCACCGTGCCTGGCCCCTCCAGGCATTTTAAAATCTAATGACGTATTAAATGGGTTCCCTTGCTGTTATTCTTTGTCCTTTAAGGAAAAAAAAAAGTAAGCAATCACAATTCAACAATCTTTTTCTTTTCAGTTTCCAGAAAAAGACTTGTAGCAAAATGAATAATCCGGCCATCAAGAGGATAGGAAATCACATTATCAAATCTCCTGAGGACAAGCGAGAATACCGTGGGCTAGAGCTGGCCAATGGCATCAAAGTACTTCTAGTGAGTGATCCCACCACGGATAAGTCATCAGCAGCGCTGGACGTACACATAGGTACAAGTTAAAGTTGAAAGCTTTGTTCGGTTCCATTAGCCTAATGTTGGAATGTAATAGAACTTTCCATATGAATGTAAATAAAGACCTGATAGTTACCAGTTTGATATACCTGATTTGGTACCAGAACCCTCTATTGCTGTTGGTAACTACAAGTAATCTTGCATTTACTAAGGCCATCTCGTTAGGCTCCCACCTAAGGTGACCTATCAGCAAGGAAATTCATTCCTGTTCTTTACAGTAACAGTTCTGATTTTTTCACTTTGGTATACTCCATACCATATCTTGTAGATTTTTGCACATTTCTCCTATATTTAATGTTGCTATAATTGTGTTGCTTTTTAGCTATGTACATAGTTAGTGGGACAGTGCTTCTTTTTTTCTCTTTGAAGAGCTTTATTTAACACTTTTTTAGGATTGAGTAAATAAGATATGACCCTCTTAGATACAGAAGAAGTGACTGAGACAAGATAAAGTATTGTGTTTAACGTTTTACAGCTAGTAGAGCCAGTAACTCTCAAACCCTTGCTCTTAAAGAGCAACTCTACTATGTTCCTACAAGAGAAGAAAACCATGACAAGAAAAATCTAGCTCTTGTAAAACTGTGAATTTAACCCTTTCTTTCCCTCCAGAGTGTGAGGAAACTAATGTTCAGGGAGGTTAAGTAATCTGCCCAAGGTTACCAACTAATGAAGAGTAGTGGCTAGAAACCAGGTCTTCTGACTACTGGTTTACCTTCTAAATAATACCAAGCAGCCCATGCTTAGCTTTCTCTGATTGTATGGTTGGAGTCATCATGCTAACAAGCATTCAAAATCATCTGTAATTCATCTGTCCTTACTAGCTTTCAACATAAAATAATGATTTGTTATATGTGTGTTTTCTCTTTCAGGTTCATTATCAGATCCTCCAAATATTGCTGGTTTAAGTCATTTTTGTGAACATATGCTTTTTTTGGGAACAAAGAAATACCCTAAAGAAAATGAATACAGCCAGTTTCTCAGTGAGCATGCAGGAAGTTCAAATGCCTTTACTAGTGGAGAACATACCAATTACTATTTTGATGTCTCCCATGAACACCTAGAAGGTGCCCTCGACAGGTAGTGCTGAATACCTTATGAATTATCCCACTTTTCAGTCCTATCACATTAATAATAACGGTTACAGGTCAGGTGTGGTGGCTCATGACTGTAATTCCAGCACTTTGGGAGGATGAGGAGGAAGGATTGCTTGAGCCCAGGGGTTCAAGACCAGCCTAGGCAACATAGTGAGACCTTGTCTCTAAAAAATAAAAATGAAAATGAAAAAATTAGTGAGGAATGGTGGTGAGTGCCTGTAGTCCCAGCTACTGAGGAGGCTGAGGCAGAAGGGTTGCCTAAGCCCAGGAGGTCCAGGTTAGTGAGCCGCGATTGTGCCACTATACACCAGCCTGGGTAACAGAGGGATACTCCTATTCAAATAATAACAATAACCGTAAGCCAGGCTCGGTGGCTCAGCCTGTCATCCCGCGCCTTTGGGAGGCTGAGGTGAGTGGATTGCCTGAGCCCGCGGGTTCAAGACCCGCCTGGGCGGTGAGACCTCATCTCTACAATAAATCAAAAATTAGCCGGGCGTGGTAGCGCGCGCCTGAAATTCCGGCTACTCGGAAGGCTGAGGTGGAAGGATCACTGGAGCCCAGCAGGTCGAGGCTGTGGTGGCTGGGAGCGGCCACTGCACTCCAGTCTGGGCGACAGAGTGAGACTCCAACTAAAAAAAAACTGAAACAGCAGTGACTTTTTACATAGATGGTTTCATGGCTTTATAGTTTCTGTTAAAGTATTTTAACCAGTATTTTTCTCAAAAAGAAAAAATGAGTGATATATATTTACTTTGTGGTAAAGGAAAAATAATGGTATGTAACTTTAAAGTAGCCTACAGGCCTACAAAATATTTTACTGACTTGTAAAATTCTCACTAGTCTTTCCCACTGGTGTTCCCACTAGTTCTAACTGGTGTCGCATATAAAGCAAGTGACAAAGACTGACCTGGGATAGTGGCACGGATCTCTTTTCAGACACACTTCCTGTTCCAGAATGCCAGACCTTAAATATTCTGTTCTTCTCCTGTTTCTTACTTCTCAAGGATACTTAATAGATACAGAATGTTTTGACCTGCTGTTTCAGCCCTGGGGATATTTTGAAAGTATTTTCTGGAGCAAGCTCCATTAGACCAGTTTAATTTCTTGGTCATTTTTTTGTACAGCTAACCGTTTCTAACTTTTTGTTATATCGGTGATTTGATTCATTATCCAAAGTGTTTATCCTTGGTGAATTTTTATAGTTTTCTGTGTACCTAAGTTATAGTTCAGTAACTTTTTGATGGGTCTGTTATGAGGTTTGACTTTGTAGTTTTAGTCATTGTCGACTTTATTTGCTTACTTATATTAATAATCATCATTGTATTTTGAAACAAATTAGCATGGGTTTACAATATGTGGCTGGGTCAAAGTTGGCTGTTTCCTACTTATTCCATCTTATATTTCAGTCTTTAGGCAACAGCTTTGTGGTATAATCATCTTTTATATATATTCCCAGAAGACTTCCATTAACGAGTTCCCTGGGATCAAACACTGAATTTAATTTCCTGCTTTACAAATGCTACAGCAGATGTTCATCTAATACATCTCTGTATGATGAAGGATGTCTATTACTTAGCTCAGAGTAAAACTCCACTTATAAAGGAGCATCATTTAAAAAAACTTGATGATACTGTGTCAAAACATGACCCTTTACATGGGCCTATCCAGCTTTGGTAGGTAGTTGTTAGACACCTTCCTAGCCTGGGTGTATTGAGATAGTAAAAGAGGTTACGTGTCCAGAAATTCTCGCTTCCATACATTTTGGGTTATAAACTTGAGATAGATAGAGTTCCCCTTTGGATTGGTATGTGTAACGTGCTTAGCACAGTATCTTATTCACTTGTGCACTTAAAATAAATAACAAGTAATGGTAATGGTAATGGCTTCTGTGACAGCTGGACCGTGAGGTGTAGTAACTGAGATGTTTATAGACCGGAGAGTCTCAGGCCCGGTGAAGAAGTGGTCCCATTCAGAATCCGTGCCTTTGGCTTTTTCTGAATTCCGAGTCTTGCTCTTATTAGATGAGATGTAAAGTTTCTACATGAAATCATGTAAGAAAGATTACTACATGAAATCCTGACTTAAATTGCAGGCTAATATAGGAGAGTTAATTTATCTTGGGTATCTTAGTTAAACTTTGGTACTATTATTAAAGAATAGCCTCCAGAAAAACATATTGGTTTCTTATGTTAAAGTTACATACCATGTTATTTGTTTAGTCACTGCTTATTAAAATTTATAGACTGTTTCTCTTACTGTTTCATAAAACTATAATCATGGCTTGCTCATGCTACTGTGTCATACCTGAGGTTTTTCACTGCATTATTATTATTATTATTATTTGAGTTGGAGTCTCATTCTGTTGCCCAGGCTGGTGTGCAGTGGCACGCTTGTGGCCACTGCAGCCTCAAACTACTGTGCTCAGCTGATCCTTCCGCCTCAGCCTTTCAAGTAGCTGGAATTACAGGCACACGCCACCATGCCCAGCTAATTTCTTAATTTATTGTAGAGATGAGGTCTCACCAAGTTCCCAGGCTGGTCTTGAACTGGCAATCTTCTCACTTCGACCTCCCAAAGTGATGGTAGACATGAGCCATCACACCTGGCTCATTATTTTTTTAATTTGAGGTTTTTTCATAAGGAAAAAATATTCACGTTGAGAATATTTTTAAAATAGGTCACTTAATTTATTTGTCCTCAGATGCTGAGTCTTAGTGAAATTGCACTTAAAACTGTAAATTTAAGATTTATTTGCCTGAGAACTATCATCTACCTTTTTCTTTCTTTCTTTCTTTCTTTTTTTTTTTTTTTTTTTTTAAGTCAGAGTCTCACTCTGTCACCCAGACTGGAGTGCTGTGGCCGCTCCCGGCCACCGCAGCCTCAACCTGCTGGGTCAGGTGATCCTTCCGCCTCAGCCTTCCAAGTAGCTGGAACTATAGGCATGTATCACCACGCTCGATGAATGTTTCTTGATTTATTGTAGTGATGAGGTCTCGCCAAGTTGCCCAGACTGGTCTGGAACCCCTGGGCTCAGGCAATTCTCTCACCTCAGCCTCCCAAAGTGCTGAGATTACAGGTGTGAGCCACCACACCCAGCCTGATGTTAATTTTTAAAATATTTTTACTGTTTATCAACAAGGGTAGATCAGCTCCTCTTCATTTACTTATGTATGACATTATATTTTTCTTCTACTTCTTAGAATTTATTTATTTATTTTGAGTTGGAGTCTCACTCTGTCGTCCAGGCTGGAGTGCAGTGGCACACTCACGGCCACCACAGCCTCGACTTGCTGGGCTCAGGCGATCCTTCCGCCTCAGCCTTCCAAGTAACTAGAACTATAGGCATGAGCCACCATGCCTGGCTAATTTTTTTTATTTATTTATTGTAGAGATGAGGTCTTACTAAGTTGCCCAGGCTGGTCTCAAACCCGTGAGCTTAGGCAATTCTCTCACCTTGGCCTCCCAAAGTGCTGGGATTATAGGTGTGAGCTACACCTGGCTAGAATTTACTTTATATTTCTTTTTTCTTTTTTCTTTCCTTTTTTTTTTTTTTTTTTTTTTTGAGTTGGCGTTTCACTCTGTCACCCAGACTGGAGTGCAGTGGTACGCTCCCGGCCACCGCAGCCTCGACCTGCTGGGCTCTGGCGATCCTTCCGCCTCAGCCTTCCAAGTAGCCAGAACTATAGGTGTGCGCTACCACGCCCAGCTAGTTTTTGATTTATTGTAGAGAGGAGGTCTTGCCAAGCTGCCCGGGTGGGTCTTGAACCCGCGGGCTCAGGCAATCCACTCGCCTCGGCCTCCCAAAGTGCTGAGGCCCCGAGCCCGGCCTACTTCTTTTTTCTTAGTAGCAATGATAGTTTTTTATCTTATAGAATGATATTTCCCATCTATGAATTTCAGAAATATTTTTAAAAGGTCATTCTTTTAAAATGGCAGCTTTCAAGTTGTTAATTATGTTTCACACCCTTAGGTTTGCACAGTTTTTCCTGTGCCCCTTGTTTGATGAGAGTTGCAAAGACAGAGAGGTGAACGCAGTGGATTCGGAACATGAGAAGAATGTGATGAATGATGCTTGGAGACTCTTTCAGTTGGAGAAAGCTACAGGAAATCCCAAGCACCCCTTCAGTAAATTTGGGACAGGTTTGTCGGCAGCTGCTTTCACGCGGTTGTTCTCCTTGACCTCATTTAAACCTATAGCTTCTGCCTAGTATGACATTTTGCGGTTTAGGATAGAAGATTTCCAAATTCCTCATTCCTGCTTACATCTCGTTCAAGTGGGGTTCTAAATGTTGACGGAGCAGAGTGGGCAGGGTTGTGAGTAGATATTAGCATTTCACATGGGGAAGATAATAGATCCGTGTATTCTGAAGTCTCCCTTCCAAATGGAAATGCCTTTTTTTTTTTTTTTTTTGAGTTGGAGTCTCACTCTGTCGCCCAGACTAGAGTGCAGTGGCCGCTTCCGGCCACCGCGGCCTTGACCTGCTGGGCTCCGGCGATCCTTCCGCCTCAGCCTTCTGAGTAGCCGGAATTACAGGCACGCGCTACCACGCCCGGCTGATTTTTTGATTTATTGTAGAGATGAGGTCTCGCTGCCCAGGTGGGTCTCGAACCCACGGGCTCAGGCAATCCACTCACCTCAGCCTCCCAAAGGCGCGGGATTACAGGCTGAGCCACCGAGCCCGGCTGCAAATGCCTTTTTTTTTAAGGCTCATTCCAAGACTTGTTGACGCCTCTCGCCCCCATCACCTTCCCCTCTGCTGATCCAGATGTAGCGCATCTGCAATGGGAGAGCTCTGGGGGACCTTGAGCACTGTGGAAGACATTCGGTGCCTGCTCTCAGTGCTACAGTCTCCTAAGGGAGCTAAGTGAGACTAATCAGAGGGTAAAATAAATGTGGAAATTCTTGATTTTATAATTGTACCCTTTTACTTTGTTCAGTGTTTCATTAAAAAGTACTTTTTAAAAACAGTTAGACAGTACAAAGATGTTTAAAGTAAAAAAATGAAAACACAAAGCCGGGCTTGGTGACTCAGCCTGTAATCCCACGCCTTGGGAGGCTGAGGTGAGTGAATTGCCTCAGCCCGAGGGTTCGAGACCTGCCCGGGCAACTTGGCGCGACCTCATCTCTACAATAAAATAAAAAAATTAGCCAGGTGTGGTAGCGCGCGCCTGTAGTTCCAGCTACTTGGAAGGCTGAGGTGGAAGGATTGCCAGAGCCCAGCAGGTCGAGGCTGCGGTGGCCGGGAGCGGCCACTGCACTCCAGTCTGGGCCACAGATGAGATTCCAACTGGAAAAAAAAAAAAACGAAAACCCAAAGGCTCCCTTTTCCTCATCTGCTCCTGCCAGCACTCACCAGAGGCAGTCCATTGTTAACAGGTTGCTATGCTGTCAAAATACTGCTTTGGAGTCCGGCTGCAGTGGCTCACACCTATAATCCCAGAATTTTGGGAGGCTGAGGTGAGAGGATTTCCTGAGCCCACGGGTTCGAGACCAGCCCAGGCAACTTGGTGAGACCTCATCTCTACAACAAATCAAAAAATTAGCTGGGTATGGTGGTGCATGCCTATAGTTCCAGCTACTTGGAAGGCCAAGGCAGAAGGATCACTGAGTCCAGCAGGTTGAAGCTGCGGTGGCGTTAGCATGCCACTGTACCCCAGGCTGGGGGACAGAGTGAGACTCCAACAAAGCAAAACAAAAAAAAATTAGCCTGACTTGGTAGCACATGCCTGTTGTTCCAGTTACTTGGAAGGCTGAGGTGACAGGATCACTTGAGCCTAGCAGGTCGAAGTTGTAGTGGTTTTGAACATGCCACCGCACTCCACCTGGGTGACAGAGTGAGACTCCAACTAAAAAAAAATACTGCTTTGGGTGTTATAAAACTGCATAAGAATGATGACAGTAGATTGTTAAGAATACTTATAAATGTGTGCTTATTTTATAAGTTAATTTTGGAAACTTTAAGACAATAAAGATCTCTTTCTTTTAGTTTAGATTGGATTCTAATATGTCTAGCAGCAGCCAGGGAAATTAGCATAGCTTTACAGAGTTAAGAATTTTCAAAAATTACACTTGCAGCAGTGATACTGTATTCTTGAGAATTATGGTACATGCCACTCAGTGTTATCATTGCCAAGATGACTACTATGATCTTTAAAATGTCTCTGTAATGCTGAATTGTTTGAAAAGTGGTTTTAGTGGAGAACATCAGCAAAATGATATGTGAAGAAGAGTTTCAGAAAACAAATTTCCAAAGCGTTATATTCAAATAATTGTTGTTCTTTCAAATAGTCCCTTTGGCATGTTAGGTAACTGACAATGCTGCTATTATGCAGAACTAGTTGGAGCTCCGGTTTGGGAGTTGCCTTCTTTTAAATAGCTTCATTGGTAACAGATTGTAATCAGTGTAGTCAGGAAGCAGCTACAAATCTTCCAGAAATATATCCAATGAATAAGGTGAATAAATTACTTCTGGACGCAAGCAAGGAGCGGTCTTAAAATGCCCTAGATAAAGGTGTCAGGATTGATGGGCAAAGAGATACGTTGCATGGCATATCCATGTGGGTGAAGTTTGAAGGCATGTTTGTTTTTATAACCTGACAAGGCTAGGCAGTTAGCGAAAACGAGGTAATTAAAAGAAACAACTGAGAAACAAGTGAGCTAGACTCAGTACAAAGTATGAAAATGTGATACACGGAGGACCCAAAAAAACCTGGATTTACTTGTAAAAAAGTGCATATTTATCTTGCATATATACTTCAATCACCTTCAAAAATACTCTCTGTTTGATGTAATACGCCTATCAAGAAACTTTTTCCACTGCTCAAAACAGTTTTTGAACTTGTCAATTTTGATAGCTTTTAGTGCTTCTGCCATTTTTTGTTTTACCTCTTCTACATTGGCAAAATGTTTCCCTTTGAGGACTCCTCATCTGGGGAAACGAAAATCATTCGGGGTGATGCCAGGTGAATAAGGAGGCTGGGGCATAGCAGTTATGGCATTTTGGTCAAAAACTGCTGAACACTTGGCATAGTATGTGCAGGTGTGTTGGAAGAACCAGTCACCCGTTTGCCACAACTTGGGAGTGTTTTCCACAAATTGTAACACAACCTTTTCAAAACTTCCAGACAAAAATTTTGATTGACTGTTTGATTCAGAGGAACAAATTCTGAGTATACTATAAAGGCCCCCACCCTTTAAAAGATAATACCAGGATTTTTTGAGTCCCCATTGTAAGTAATGCAAATATTAAATTGCTTTCTGGTTTTAGAATTATAAACTAACATTGGGCTTTTTGGAGTAGGGATTCTACTTTTAGGGTCACTGATATGTTTGAAAGTATGATGAAAGTTGTATGACTTCATCCCAGAAACTACACATATATAAAACTTTGCAAAAGTAATTCTTGAAGAAGGATCCTTGTCAGAAGTTCATGCTAATTCTGTTATTTTTGAATGGCTCAAATGTTTCTGTGAATATGGGCCATTTTGTACATCAAGGGATTATGATTTTAAATATCAGGAAAATGTGTGCATTTTTTAAATGAACAGAAACCAAGCATTGTCTTATCTGTTTTGGGAAAACCTTACAATAAGATGTTTGTCCTTTACAGTGGTTTTTTATACTTGAAAAGTATAAATCAGTGACTTTCAAACTCTTTTGTGTACAATTCACAGTAAGAAGCACATTTTGCCCAGCAGTTCAGAGATCACGTATGCATTTGTGTAAGCAGCTGAAACAAAAGTTTTGCCAGACACTATCTATCTCACATCATGGGATATAGTCTGGTACTTTCTGTTTTATTCTGTTTTTGTTTGTTTGCTTATTTGTTTTTACCTAGAAAAATTCTTGTCTGCTAGTACCTTAAATTTATTTCATGAAAATCCCAGATCCCAATTCACATTTTAAGTAATCCAAAATGACAGTCAGCAGACTCAAAGCATTGGATAAAACATGGCACTCATCCATGAACAAAACTCAACCATCAACACACACACACACACATACACACACACACAAACCCTTTAGCTGATTAAAAACCTGTCAGACATCTTGAGTAATGGCAGTGTCTACAGGATTTCTGTTGAAAAAATGATGATACCTGTTATCACCTTTTTGTTCAGTTGTCTTATAAATAGTAAACGTTGTAATAATTCAAAAGGGAAGATACAATGATAAGAAATGGAAAAGAAGCAAAAAGCCTGTATCCCTGTTTCCATATGAAATGATTAGACATAAAAATATTGTCCATATAAAAAGAAAAGCTTCAGATCAACCATTAGAAATAATATACTTCAAGCCAGTTGCAAGGGCTCATGCCTGTAATCCCAGGCATGATTTTTGGAGGCCGAGGCAGGAGGAATACTTAGCCCAGGAGTTTGAGACCAGCCTGGGCAACCTAGCAAGTCCCTGACTCTATAAAAATACATATAATAAATAAAAATATAATTCAGCAGGGTTGCCAGAAAGAAGGGAAACATACTGAAATTAACATTTTTGTATCAATAGTAATCAGTTATAGAAAAATGCTAGGGAAAAGATTATTTCATTCACAATATTTTTAAATGACATAAGAATTTCAGAGATAAATCCCAATGAAAGAGGTGCAAGAAATATATAGTGGAAATAAAAGAATGCCTAAATGCATGTACCACGCACATGGGTGGGTAACCTTTATAACATTGATGTAAATTTACCCCAAAGGTTTCTAAATTCAATGCAGTGCTGGTTGAAAGTCCTAGAAATTTTTTTGAGAAATTTGATGATCTGATTATAAAATGAATAAGAAAGAGTAAAGGGTCAGCAATAGCTAAGATAATTTTGAAGAACAAGAAGGGGAAGGGGCTACTTCCTTTTTTTCTTTTTTTTGAGTTGGAGGTCTCACTCTGTTGTCCAAGCTGGAGTCCAATGGCATGATCATGACAATCATGGCTCGTGGCAGCCCCAACCTCCTCAGCTCAGTTGATCCTTCCACCTTAGCGTCCCCAGCAGCTAGAACTACAGGTGCGTACCACAAGGCCCAGTAAGTTTTAAAATTTTTTGTAGAGACAAGGTTTAGCTATGTTGCCCAGGCTGGTCTCGAACTCCTGGACTCAAGCAATCTGCCTGGCTCGGCCTGCCAGAGTACTGCCATTATAGGTAT